CCATATAAATATAACGGATAATTATTTTTTAGTTTTACCGATGAAGTACAACAAACAGATAAACATGATAGCTTGTACAGGTATTGAGATGAGCGGTGTCGAATTTACGGAATTAACAATAACAAGCACAAATTTTTCGTCGAATTCATTTGTGAATGAAGTTCGATTTATTCCGAATATAGACGAAACGGAGATGAATATGGTCGACGTTTGTCACATAGTACTAGGATTACTTTCGGAAAATATTTGTGGAAACAATACGAGGAAAATAATGATGATAGAAGAGTCAAAATCACACGATCAAGATAATATATTAGAGTGTTTCCAAAGCATCTTGAAGAAGGTAAAGAATAGCTTCGAAATAAAATGCATTGTTAAAGAGAATTTTAACCAAATCTTTGATGAAAAGTTTATTTTGATAATCATTGACAGCATTAATTTTAATGACATAAAAAACATTTTTAATAATATAAATAAAGAATCATTTTTATTGACGATCATAAAGACGGAAGATCAAGATAAAATGATTGCCACATTCACAAGTATAGGATTAAATCTCGTTCTAAAGAAAAAAATAGCCCTAGATCGTACGGTTTTGCTTCTACGAAAAGTTGAGAATGCAAAGAAACCAATTGTCATTAAAAATCAAGACAATTGTATTGATCATCTGAAAAAGAGTTTAAGAGATTCGAAATATGACAGAGTTATCTTTTTGGTGAATACTATTACAGAAAACAATATCTTTGAAACACTTCGAATTCTGAAACAAGAGCCAGGATACAAGAAACTTCAAGTTCTCGACCTACAAAATTCAAATGCACCGAAATTTTCGCTTAAAGATATATTTTATCAAAATCAAATAAAATTAAATCTTTATCAGAACGTATTGTCGTCCGATAATGTATGGGGTACGTACAGATGGATGCCATTGTCTGAGAGATCTACTTCCTTGCCGCGTTGGCGAGCTAATATTGAAAAATCAGGTTCATTAACCTTGATGGAAGAATTATCATTGAAGGAGAAGGATAAAAGTATTGTAAAAGTAGAGTGCGCTGCATTCGATTTAAATATTTACGAGCAATGGTTGAACAATGAAGTCAATTTAGATTCTCAAATATGTATCACAGAATATTCAGGAACAGATGAAAAAGGTCATAGAGTAATGGGACTTCTTCAGAATTTAACAATAAGTAATGAGATTTGTCCCGATCCAGATTTTACTTGGACGATACCAGACTCTTTAAGCTTCGAAGATGCTGCAACAATGCCTCAAGCTTATTTGGCAGCTTTTTCCATTTTACATAAGAACTCGTATTACTTTACCAAAATAAAAACTATTTTGATACATATCGGTGCTAGCGAACTAGGACAAGCTCTTATTAATCTATCTTTATGGTATAATTTTGATGTCTATACAACTTATGAAACTGAAACCGAAAAACGAGTAATCCAATCGATTCAACCACGTTTACCGGATTCTCATATTATGAACATTAATGACTATAAAGATTTGTTATTCAATATTACAAACGGTAAAGGAATGGACTTCGTTATTGTAAGCTATTCGGTCTTGAAAGATTTCGAATCTTGTCTAGATGTTGTCGGAAGACATAAAAGTATCGTATTTATTCATGATTCTAAAATAATTAATCAAATGACTTTTGGTACAAATGCTTTTCAAGAAGATATTCGCATGTATAGCTATTGTTTGCAAGATATAATGAATTTGTCAGCGACAATGAAAAGAAATATAGTGGAATTGATGAGAAAAGCTCTACAAGCAAATATCTTAAAACCACTTATTTCCTATAAACTTTATCTACCAAAAACAATACAGGAAGAAAATAAGATAGTTCATCAACGTTATGGAAAAGTAAGAGATATTGGCATTTAACTTATTTTCATGGATATACTGTTACACCATTAATATATTAACAAAATATTTAATTGTAGGTGCTCGTCTCTCCGTTGAAACTGTCTAAATCTGTTGATATTGTTCCTAGCTTATGCTTTGATAAAGACAAATGCTACTTCATTGTTGAAGGTTTGGATAATTTTGGCATGAGATTGATAAAATGGTTAATTGATGAAGGTGTTACGAAGCTATTTGTAGTTTCTAAAGAAACGCACAAAGAATGTGTAGAATACTATCTAAAGAAATTGTGTGAACACGGAGAAAGGCTTGAATTACGAATGGGGATTGATCTGACGAATGCGACGGTGGTACAAAAATTATTAAGGGAAGCCTCATCTTTAGGTCAACTTGGTGTTATTTTCGACTTACAGAGAACAAATAAAGAATTTTTGTATTCTTCATTTAATTTGATCAGAATCACTCAAATATTTGATCAAGAATCAAAGAGACTTTTCCCGTCACTTGAAAAATTCGTCATTTTTGAGTTTTACAATGAAAATGAAGCTTCTTCGAAGGTCTTCGTGATGGAAAAAGTTTGCGAACAAAGGACATTTGGTCAGCATGGATTACTTGTCCTTATACCTAATTTATTCGAAATTACACAATCCAAATTTCAACCGAAGGCAGAATGTTATTTGGGAGTGTTAAATTTGTTTCAACGGCTAAGAGTTTTAATGAAAACGAACTCTTCTATTATCTTTTTATATCACAAAATCGTAAAAAAATCTATTGTTATTGAAGATCTGGTAAGATATCATTGTTGTCAAAACTTTTAATTAAGAAGATTACAAATTTTTAATTAAGAAATAAAATTCGTTAATGCTTTATTCTGTAATAATTATTTTGTTTTCTTTTTCTTTTATAGAGTAAAGAGGATATGACTGAGGAGAAATATGATCATAGATGTTTCGAAGAATAGTAGAATGTGCAACAATAAATTACTTAATTAATCTAAAACTCTTTATAATTTACTTCGTTTTAAAATATATAATTTAGAGCAATAATTTTTCTTCGGATAGACACATACAGAGAGAAAGAGAGAGAGAGAGAGAGAGAGAGAGAGAGAGAGAGAGAGAGAAAGAGAGAGAGAGAAAGAGAGAAAGAGAGAGGAGAGAGAGAAACACACATACATATAGCGATTTTTATATTTAACACAATTTGCCCTTATGATGTTCTATCAAAAAAAGTACGATTGCAATTGATATATCTATTCCTCAAAATGTTTGTGATTGATAAAAAAAAGAAATATTTACAATTTTAAGGCTGTATAAAAATCTTTTTTTTTTTTTATACGCTCCAATCATTTCATAATCAATGTAAGTTTCTCATAATCTATAAACATAAAAGTGTTATATATTGAATTATCAAATTTATGTTTAGTAAATAATTAATTTGTTAGTAACAAAATAATCTTTGTCTATTTACGATAAGATGAAAACATATCTTTATATTACCATTGGAAATTTTATATTTCTTTTAATAAAGGTGAATTTTATTATTTGATACTTAACTTACATAAATTAACAATTGATCCAATAATACTTATTACTCGCGTGATTATTTAAATCGTCAATTGAAACAAACGATGTGCACTTATTTATATAATGATTGCTTCTGGGATAGATCATATTTTACAATATACATAAAACTCAGTATTACGAAAAATTAACAGAATTATCAGAAAATAAAATAACAAGTACATCAGAGATATGCCCAGGATATTTTATTGTGTTCTCAAATAATTGCATTTGATTTATTTACAATTAATAATTTAGAAAAAGATTCCATGCTGTCTGATCGTAAAATAAAATAATATTGTCTCTCGTGAAATAAAATTTTCTCTTTCATTTCTTTTAATTTCATTGTTTTAAAAATATAAAGAATCTGTTTATCGAAAAAAAAAAGAGAAAATGACGTAATTGATTTATTAAACCATTGTTACTTATAATACTTTGCCATGAACTAACTTGAAAGATCAATGTATTCAAAATTATGTTTCAAAAATACGTCTATAATATTCATGAGAAACGGCAAAAGAATAAAAAAATTATGAATTCATTCATATACGACTTACGTGAACTTTAGAATAATTAATTCGAATTTTAATATTCGAATGTCATCATTATAATTTTAAATAGTTCAGTTCATTCTATACGTCATAATTTATCGGATAATGTACATTAGCATTTCGTTACGTTATTTAATTTATAATAGTATATATTAATTTATAATAGTAATAAGAAGTATAAAATGGAATGAATTTATTAAAAATTTTCATCACACACACAAAAGGATTAAATATTTATTAGCTACAGGAATTAATTTACTATGAGCCATCTATTTATTTAAAGGCTATCATCAATACGTTTTCTTTAAATTAATTATTTATGTTTATATTTAAAAATAGATAATATTGCCAATTGGAAAAAAAAATAAATCAATTTTAATAAATATACTTATATCTTTCGCAAGATCATAGCCAGTAAAAGAGTTCTTGTCCACAATGTTCTTTTCACAACAATGTTATTTGAATAATATATATATATACTGTTCTATACTATAATAAAATTATTCTATACGATAATAATTTAAGGCAAAGAATCAATATGTTTCGGTGATTGTATAAGGTAATAGAAAATTCACTATAAGGAAGCAAAAAAAGAAAATTTTTTTAAACACAAGACGAAAGTGTTAATATTATCATTAAAATAGTAAAGAAAATTTTTTCTTTTTATATCTTGTTAAATTTTAAGAGATAACAGAAGTGTAATACAATAAATATATTTGGTTAAAGTTTAATACGCTTTTCTAATAAATATTTTACGTTTCCTATTTACGTATTTTAATACATAATAAAAGTGTTTTAAATACCTAATTCTTCTATAATAATATTCATTATTATAAGATAATTAAATATTTAAATTTAATTATTATATATGCGATAGTATATAAATGATGGATAACATAAATTTCAATTTCAATTAAACATAAATAAAATAAATAAGAATTTCTGAGATAGTATAAATAAATGAAGAGAGCTCTAATTAACAGTATCAGCTTGATATATTGTCTCCTTTTTCAAGTGTTTAAATCAACAAATATGGCATTAGAGAATTTGGACGATGATGCAGTTGTCATTTCTGGAATGTCCGGAAGATTTCCTAAGAGCGGTAATATTAATGATTTGATGGTAAATCTTATGAAGGGAATAGATTGCGTTTCTGCAGATCATACAAGATGGTCCATAGGTAAAGATAAATAAAATCATATTATAACGTAAAGATAGATCTATTCGATTTCGGATACAAATTTTTAATTTGGTTAATAAATGTATATTTCTAGAAAATATTAAAATTCCGTCACGTATTGGGACGATGAAGGAGATAACGAAATTAGACAATGTTTTTTTCGGCATCAATGCGAAACTTGTTAATTATATGGACCCAACAGTCAGATTGACAACGGAAGTTACATTCGAGGCGGTCATTGATGCCGGAATAAATCCTATAGAACTACGAAATACAAAAACTGCTGTTTTTGGAGCACTGACCTTAAATGAATCAGATAAAGCTCTTTTCTATGAAAAATTGGAGGTGAGCAAATAAATTCTTATTAAAAATTTCATCTTTAATTTCGATAAATAATACATTTCTTTGTTAACATAGCAAAGTGGATTAAATCTATTAGGATGTTGCCGTGCTATGATATCTAATCGAATGTCGTTCTGTTTGGGACTGGTTGGTCCAAGCTGTACTATGGACACAGCTTGCACATCAAGTGCATTGGCTATTACTAAAGCGTATGAGGCTATAAAGAGTGGAATTTGCGATGAGGCAATCGTTGATAGTGGAGTTGTAATCTTGCATCCACAAACATCTTATCACATGTATGAATTAGGTAAAACAAAATAATTACTATAAGAAAATCTACTTATATTATATATTGCAAGAACAATGAACTTTATGTCTATATTTTTATCATTTAAATGTTCATCGAATATTTATGAAATGCAAAAGATTTTTCTATTGCAAAAATAACAACGTAAATTATTTCAATTGTTAGGTCTGTTGTCACCCGATGGCGTGAATAGATCTTTCGACGCTAAAGCTTCTGGATTCACGCGAAGCGAATCGATAGGTGTTTTATTCCTTCAGAAAGCCAAAAATGCAAAGCGGATTTACGCCGAGGTTGTCAATTCAACAATAATGTTCGGCAAAGCAAATATAAGAAACAGTTGTTTTTTTGCCTCGGCCGAATTCCAAGCGCAAATGATGAAGCAGACATTGAAACAATGTGATTTAAAGCCTAGCGATATAACTTACATCGAGGCCGATGGTACGGCAATCAAGGAGGTAGATCGCGAGGAATTAAAAGCGATAGATCTTGTTTATGCTCAAGATCGAAGTCCCTCTAATCCTCTCCTAATTGGTTCAATCAAATCAAACATTGGTCATGCACTATGTAATAATGCGATAAATTCAATCATCAAGGTAATTCATCTGAGAATATTTGAAATATCTATATAAATATATTTAGAACCATTATGGATTAATTTCACTTCATTTTTTCTAGGTAATCATTGCTATGGAGACAGGAGTTATACCTCCGAATCTTCATTACGATGAACCTCCAGAGGATGCCAAATGTCTTCGTGATGGACGCGTAAAAGTTGTTACAAAACCAACACCTTGGAAAGACGATTATGCTGCCGTGAACACTTGCTCTTTCGCGGGTACTTTCTCTCATATTATCTTAAAACGTTATTCGAAGGAAAAAAAGAAGAGAGAACTTTCATCAAATGCAATGCCACGACTTTACGTAGTTTCTGCTCGAACCGAGGAAATGATCTCTACGATCTTTAATACTGTAAGTTTTTTATTCTTCAATCTTTCAGACAGGAAAATCATCATTTAAATTCCATGATGTCGTTTAGCTACAAGAAAACAAAGCGGACAGTGATTTAGCTCAATTAATTTACGATATTACTATAAATCCATTCCCATATTCTCTGTATGCTGGCTATATTATAATTCCCGAAGTTGAAGCTGGAGATACGGTATCATCGATCGATTTAATACCAGATAATTTGATTGCACATTCTCAACAAATCTGGTTTATTTTTTCGGGAATGGGTTCGCAATGGACTGGAATGGGTATGACAAACATTATATTTAAATCTACAAAAGTACATTACGTTGTATAACATGATATACAATTAAAATTGTCTCTTTCAGGTGAATCTCTGATGAAGATACCAATCTTTGCAGAAGCAATAAGAAAATGCGATGCAGTTTTAAAACCTAGAGGATATGATATCGTGCAGATTTTATGTGACAAAGACCCAACAATATACGATAATATTATAAATTCTTTTCTGGGAATAGCGGCTGTGCAAGTAATTTATTGTCTTATATCACTAAGCGCTCTAGATTGCAGTGTTTTTTTTTCAAATAATTGGTTCTTTGTCGTTCCTTTTACATAGATAGGACTAGTAGATATTTTAAATGCAGTCGGCATAAAACCACATTATATGATCGGTCATTCTGTGGGTGAACTGGGTTGTGCTTACGCAGATGGTTGTTTTACTGCTGAGGAAATGATTTTAAGTGCTCTATCTCGAGGTCTGGCGTCGATAGAAAGCAATTTAATACATGGAACTATGGCTGCAGTTGGTCTTGGCTATGAACAGATACGACATCTTTGTCCTGAAGACATCGATGTTGCATGTCACAATAGTTTTGATAGTTCTACCATAAGTGGACCTACCGAATCTATTAAAGTTTTTGTTAAAGAATTACAGGTAAAATTTAAGAAATTGTTTGAAAAACAATTTTGATAGTAATAGTATTGTAAAAATTAGCAATCATTATTCTTATTTAAGGAAAAAGGAATATTCGCTAAAATCGTGCCAACTAGTAATATCGCTTATCATAGCCGTTACATTGCACCGGCTGGTCAAAAATTGTTGAAATACTTGCAAAAAGTTATTTCTCATCCGAAAGCTCGCAGTAAACGCTGGATATGTACGTCTATTCCGAAAAATGAATGGCATTTAGTGAAAGCGCGTCTATCGTCGGCGGAATATCATACCAATAATCTTCTTTCTCCAGTTTTATTCGAAGAGATATTGACATTCATACCAAAAAATGCAATAACCATTGAAATTGCACCCCACGGACTTCTCCAGGTTTGTTTACAATTGAAAATAATTTAATTTATTTCTACTGCAAAATTCATTGTTTTCTATTTTTCAGGCTATTCTAAAAAAATCAATGCATAGCGATTGCATTAATTTAGCATTAACAAGGCGTGATAATAAAGACAATACGACTTTACTTTTATCCACTCTAGGAAAGCTTCATAATCTTGGATGTCCCATTAAACCAGGAAACCTTTATCCCCGAGTTCCATATCCTGTTTCTAAGGGTACCCCATCGATTTCATCTCTCGTACGATGGGAACATAGTCTCAATTGGTTAGTATGTTATTGAATGCTACTACTTATATGATAAAAATTATTTATTGTTTGCGTTCTATAGGTATGTGAACTTCTTCAAGAGGCAGGTAGAACAGATTAAAGCAGAACGTTCGTTTATGTTAGACTTGAAATCAGATAAATACAAATTTTTACAAGATTTTAAAATTGGAAATATTGTTATAATACCATTGACTTTCTGCTTGAAGCTTGTCTTAGATATTTATTCAGATATAATAGGAGACAAGGATATCAAATCTTTTACATTCGAGAATATTTACATTTACGATGTATTATTAAGAGTACCTAGTGATGATGATTTGACGTTACTCATTATGGTGTTCCAAGGTAAACATAATAGATTTATATTTTTATTTCGTTAAAAAATTAACAAACAATGTTCATTTTCAGGTTCGGGAAATTTCGAAATAAAAACCAAAGATGAAAGTATGATAGCGTCTGGGACTATACGATCAACACAATTAACAGATATAAAAATTCCTGATCTTAGTTCATCAAAAGAAAAATGTGAAATTATAACGAAAGAAGATTTTTACGCTGATCTACTTATACGTGGTTACGAGTATGGAGAATATTATAATCTTATTGACGGACTATCATTATCATGTTCCAATGGTACACTTACATATAAAAATGATTGGGCGTTGTTATTAGAAGGATTATTTCAAGTACATATTTTCAGTAAAAATAGTAGAAAGATTTTAATGCCAAGTATGATACAAAAGATCGTCATCGATATGAGACAATTTACAGAAGAAATAAAAAAAATGAACAGTTAGTCCTCTGAAATTTTTTCTATAGTTTTTTATATAATAATTCGATTAGAAACAATATATCAATTACGGATTATTTTTTTTTTTTAGCCTTATCAATGAAATTCGACAAACGGATCAATGTAATAACTTGCCCGGGAATTCTTATGAGTGGTGTTAAATTTGAGGAGGTAACACCAACAGATGCAAGTTTGCAAATATTGACGAACGAAATACGATTTATTCCTAATTTAGACGAAACGGAAATTAATATAATTGACGTTTGCCACGTAGTATTAGGAATACTTTCGGAAAATATTTCTGAAAATACTACGGGTACGATAATGGTAATTCAAGAATCAAAAGACGAACAAGATAATATTTTAGAATGTATCGAAAACATTTTGAAGGAGACGAATAATAGCTTCGAAATACAATACGTTGCTAAAAAGAATATTAAACAAATGTCTAATGAAACATTTAATTTAATGATTATCGACTATGCACATTTTAACGATTTAAGAAATACTATTAATATCGGTACAGAATCATTTTTATTGACTATCATAAAGACGGAAGATCAAGATAAAATGATTGCCACATTCACAAGTATAGGATTAAATCTCGTTCTAAAGAAAAAAATAGCCCTAGATCGTACGGTTTTGCTTCTACGAAAAGTTGAGAATGCAAAGAAACCAATTGTCATTAAAAATCAAGACAATTGTATTGATCATCTGAAAAAGAGTTTAAGAGATTCGAAATATGACAGAGTTATCTTTTTGGTGAATACTATTACAGAAAACAATATCTTTGAAACACTTCGAATTCTGAAACAAGAGCCAGGATACAAGAAACTTCAAGTTCTCGACCTACAAAATTCAAATGCACCGAAATTTTCGCTTAAAGATATATTTTATCAAAATCAAATAAAATTAAATCTTTATCAGAACGTATTGTCGTCCGATAATGTATGGGGTACGTACAGATGGATGCCATTGTCTGAGAGATCTACTTCCTTGCCGCGTTGGCGAGCTAATATTGAAAAATCAGGTTCATTAACCTTGATGGAAGAATTATCATTGAAGGAGAAGGATAAAAGTATTGTAAAAGTAGAGTGCGCTGCATTCGATTTAAATATTTACGAGTACTGGTTGGACAATGAAGTCAATTTAGATTCTCAAATATGTATCACAGAATATTCAGGAACAGATGAAAAAGGTCATAGAGTAATGGGACTTCTTCAGAATTTAACAATAAGTAATGAGATTTGTCCCGATCCAGATTTTACTTGGACGATACCAGACTCTTTAAGCTTCGAAGATGCTGCAACAATGCCTCAAGCTTATTTGGCAGCTTTTTCCATTTTACATAAGAACTCGTATTACTTTACCAAAATAAAAACTATTTTGATACATATCGGTGCTAGCGAACTAGGACAAGCTCTTATTAATCTATCTTTATGGTATAATTTTGATGTCTATACAACTTATGAAACTGAAACCGAAAAACGAGTAATCCAATCGATTCAACCACGTTTACCGGATTCACATATTATGTATATTAAAGACTATAAAGCTCACGTTTACGATATTATGAAGGGCAAACGCATGGACTTCATTGTTGCAAGATATTCGATCTTAGACGAACTCGAATCTTCTATAGATATTCTCGAAACTCATAAAAATTTAATATTGGTCTTTGATTCTAAAACAATTGATTACAGATATAATCAATTAGAGAGATGTTTTGGTATGTCTACTTTTTTAGAAGGCATTAATATCTATAGCCATTGTTTACAAGATTTAATGTATTTAACAACGGAAATGAAGAGAAAATTAAAGGACTTGATGAGAACAGCTCTACAAGCTGGTACCTTAAAACCTCTTATTTCTCGAAAAGTTTATCTTCCGAAGAAAACTCAGGAAAGAAGAATTGAAGTTTGTGAACGTTATGGAAAGGTAATTAATTTTTTTTTTAATTTATTTCCCGAGAAATTGAATTTTATTGACGATGATTGTATTTTATCGTTAGGTACTCGTCAATTTGCAAGAACTAGAGAAGTGTTCTTATTTCGTTCCTCGTCTATCTTTCCGTAACGACAAATGTTACTTCATTGTTGGCGATTTCAATATTTTTGGTATAGCAGTGATCGAATGGATGATCGAGCAAGGAGTTAGGAAATTATTAATAGCTTCTAATAAGTCTATCAAAGATCGTAAGGACCGTGTGCTTAAATGGTGTGAAAATGGAGCAACGGTGATCATTCGCGAAAAAGTTGACATGAGCAAAGCGACAAACGTTGATAACTTGCTAAAAGAAGTGGCTTCTCTTGGTCAACTCGAAGCTATTTTCGATCTACAAAGAACATCGATGGATTCGTCAGCGTCTCTTCCTGAATGTTCCAAAATCACTAAAATACTCGACGAAGAAAGCAGAAAACTCTGTCCTTCTAATGTAAAATTCTTCGTTTTCTCATCACCCAATTCGAACGATGATTCTTCAAGAGATCCTATTGTGGAGAAAATATGTAAACAAAGAATGAAATCTGGGCTCCATGGATTGTTTATCTTATTAATTTATTCCATTGAAAATAAACATTCGACGTCTCAATTTATGAATACATTTTACACAAATATCTCGCTGTTTCTACAACGACTGAGTACTTTTCTGAACGCAAATGCTTCTCTAATTGCTCTGCGTTTTATTAAAACTAAACAATCCATTAATGATAATGAGATGAATATAATTTCCGTTGAAGCTGAAAAGAAGGTAATTAATTTTATCATTATATATTATCATTTTATTATTTTTATAAAAATATTTCTTATATCATCGGTCATGATTGTTTTTGATATTTTACTTCAGGAATTTATCGAAATGGACCAACAGGAGGAAGAAGTAGATCGAAAAATGTTCGAAAAATATTTATATAGACGAAATTATGTGACTCTTTAAAATTTTCTATTAATCTTAGAGATAATATTTATATTGGAATGATATATAACTTGTAAATTATATGTATGCATATTTTTTTAAATTTACTTATACTTGATTATCGAAATTCGAAATAAGGCAAAATTATTATATATTTGAATATATGAATTTGGAAACCATTATAATCGATTGATCATTCTCATGTAGGATCCGATTTTCATTTTTTTTTTCGATAAATCAACATTTAGCAAACAAGATTTTTTTTTTTTTTTTTTTTTTTAATAAATATCCAATATTCGAAGATCGTAAACAAATATACTACTTTAGTAATAATTGTAGATATAGTGTTTGTCGTATTTATTACGTTTCAAAAAAGAATTTTTATCAATATTATATTTATTTCCAATAACGATTATTTCCTTGATTAATGAACGTATAAAAATTCAAACAACCTATTATGTAAACATATCATAACTTTTTTACTTAAACTTCCGTTTAATTAAAAAAGATAATGCAAAAATGTATTCACCAAATTAATAATTCATTTACATTCTTTATAAATATTAACCGTCTAGATGGATGTTTACTACGTAACTTTTTAATAAATTAATGAATAAAAAAATAAAAAATTAAGATATATGATGTTTTTAAACATTTTTTTTTTTACTTTCATTGGAATAAGAAATGATTGATTTAACTGAAGAGAATTTTAATGTCGAGAAGACAAAATTATAATTTTAAACATTTCAATATTGCAATCTATAATGTATTGTTTTTCGATTGTAAACAATGTGATAAAATATATAATTTTATTAGTCAATTGGATTTATTTATTAAAAGAAATCGCAAAGTCTAATTAAATACAACTTTGCTTATATTTATTTCTTCGATCGTCAAAAATATAATTTTTATTAAAATTGAAATTCTAATAGGCTTAACTTTAAGTAGCAGATAAAATTATGAAAGCTTTATATTCTTGGATATCCCATTAGGCCAGGAAAGTTCTATTCGCGAGTTCAATATTCTAAGTTTTCTAAAGGTACATCATCGATTTCGTCTCTCTCTATTGATTTCTAATATTTTCATAATATAAATTATTTTTTAATTGCGTTCGATAGATGAGTAATTTTCAGTAAAAATCGGTTGTAACAAATAAATTAAGAACGTTGATGTTAGATTCGAAATCGGATTAATATAAGTTTTTACATGATTACGGAATAGGCGCTAATATTGTAATACCTTTAAACGTTTGTTTGGAACATTTTTTACTTAATATTGTTAATTTGATAATCAATACAATGAATATCAAAACTCACGCAATAACATTTTATTAATTAATATTAAATATTTAAATGTTATATAAAATAATAATTTATTATTTGTCTTTTCATTAAAGATATTATTAAAATTTAATCCAGTTATTAATATTTTATAAATTAAAAATAATATGAATCGAGAAATTCAATAAAAAGTTTAAAATAATTAATTGTTTCAAATGTTAATTATTATCAATCTTTCACTATAGATAAATATTTGTATGAAAATTAGTTTTAAAATAACTAATGTTAGTAAAGTATTATAATTTGTAATTTTTAAATAGTATTTCAATTTCTATTTGAAAATTGAGAATAAATTTTTACTTTTAAATATATATTAATTAATCATTTAATTGACATTTTTTGCTAAAGTTTTAATACGGAAGTTCGAAAAAAAACAATTAATTATTTTCAAAAATTTATAAGCTTATATAGTTCGCACGTTAAAAATTTATAATCTTTATATTTAGCAAAGTTGTAAAATAAAATATACGGCGGAAGAATGCTATGACGCAACTAATGAAGGATGGTGTAAAGTCACACGACAAAGGAAGTATTACATATTTATTTAAATCTGCAGAAAATTTACGATATATTGTTAAAAGTATTTAGTAATAGTAATTTAACCTCATTTATTACGGTGTTCAAGATATTGTATAAAATATCAGAATGTAAAGGACAACATGTTATTCATAGCAATGACATTTTAATTCTTTGCAATTGTCTTAAATTTAGACATGGGTATCGTACTGATTGGAATTAATTTCCGTTGAACGAGCAGTGATACATAATATGCAAAATTATGTAGGATAAACAAATTTTAGATATATATTTATACAATAATATGTTTTAATGTTATGTTGTTATATAAAAATTATAATTTATAATTCTCGATTATGTGGTATCTTTCAAAATAGTCTCCAACATGAAATCGTGCTTTTCAATTACACGTATCACAAAAATAATTAGTTTGGCGTCTTCCGTCCTGGATTTTTCTGTTTGAACATACAGAACAATCTTTACTTTTTATGTTTTGACAATGCCGCAATATTAGTTTGCTCTTTAGTCTGAGGACGATGGTCTTCCTGATTTTGAAAATGCTCCGTCACGAAAATCACCTACAAATTGTTCCAATAATTTTCGGACAAACATAAAATATGACATACGTACGTCTTATTTTTTTTTCTAGCTGACACCTTATATAAGATGTAACTATTGATTGCGCAAACTTCCAATCCCCAGAAAAACATTTTTCTCCACTACACAATTTGTAACATATTATTTGGAATTCTACGAAGAATATCCGAAGCTTGTCGATTTCTTTACGTTCGAAAGTCGTTTGACTCGCCACGATGTCTTCCATGGCGAGTAAGAGGTGATACCATTTGTTTAAATTGAGTTTTTTTTTATTTTTTTTGTTAGACATACGACCGCAAAGGGTTAATGAAGAAAGATTTACATCTAATTACTTATACGTGGTTATAAATGAGGAAAAATAATTTTATAATTTTATAAATTTATCTTATCGATGTACTGTCTTCATCATGTTCTAATGATACATTTACATGTAACAATGATCGGACGTTGTTATTAATAGGATTATTTCTAATTAGTAGGATATTTTCATTAGAAAGGTTTTGATCCCAAGTATAATAAAAAAGATCGTCGTCGACAAAATTTATAAAAGAAATAAAAAAAAATGAATGATGAGTCCTCAGAAAATATTTCTATAATTTTTCATAATTTGAACAGAAATGATGTATCCATTACGTATTATTCTTTTTTTATTCTTTTTTTTTTTTTTAGTATTACCTATGAAATTCGACAAACGAATCAACTTAATAACTTCTCAAGAAATTGTTGCTATTGCTGATAAATTTGAGAAAACAATATTAACAGACGTAAATTTAAAAGTAAGAAGTTTGATTCATCATGAATGTAGACAAAACGAATGTAGACAGAACGAGACGAATGATTGACCTTTGATGCGTAGTATTTGGATTAGTTCGTATAAATATTTTTAAAAATACTACAAAGAAGATGATGGTTAATTCAAGAATTAAAACACGATCAAAATAATATTTTAAAGTATATTGAAGATGACGGATAATTTTGAAATAAAATACATTGCTAGTGAGAATCTTAATAAAACACTTAATGAAAATGTTAATTTAATGATCATCGATAACACTCAATTTAACGACATAAAGAATATTATTAATAATATCAATGGAAAATCATTTCTATAAAATTTAAATCCTCAAAATGTCTCAGTTCTATCGAAATTAAATCAAATTAAATTCAATAAAATTAACGAAATAAATGAAATTTATAAAACAATAGAGCTACATATTTATATGAACATCGTTTTATTATACGAATTGTATAAAAAATTGTTTAACGAATTGTTATATAACAAATGGAAATATTTTTAATACTTGTAGCAGTTAAAAAAAAAAAAAAATGTATAGGAATCAAAAAGTCTTTCCTGTTGCTATTGTAATGTCATTCTATTATTCATAATGCATTAATCATTCATAATATTTTCCGTTTTGCATGTATGTTTATTCTTCTGCATATAATAAATTATTGATAACATATCATGGATGTTAAATTAGACGTAATTTATCGGATAATATAACATAATAAATCATATATACACATACATAAATATAATATATATATATATATATATTTGGATTTCACTAGTTAACTTTATTTGAGTAATAATTATATAAATTTTTTAAAAAATGAATCTCTATTTATCATATTTAAAAGTATATGCATGTAGATCATAGATCAATAGAAATTAAATTTCGATTTTGAAATTACTAAATATTTAAAAAAAATTATTGGATGTATAAAAAAAAAATGAAACTATAAAATTTATTGTCTTTACAATACATATGCTTACCTCAGGAATCTTTAATTTTCAATGAATTAAAGAATTCTGTATCATTCGATTAAAATTTATATGACGTCAAATCTATATATCGGATGTTAATTTAATTAAGTGAACTTTTTATAAAATCGTTTTAATATTTCACGTAAAAAATAGTCACAGTTACAATAATACTGCATAATTTTCATCGAATATTTTTTTAAATTCTTTGCATTTTGTGTTATGCAATAATACAATTTCTTCTCAAATTGTTATTTTATCGAATATCCATTTTTTTAAATGGTTTGATAAAAGGAAACATTACATAGAAAAATTTTTTTCTCTTTTCACATTGAATAATAATTTAAAAAGATAAATATACGTTTCTATTTGAAAAGAGAAAGTAAACCCTCAAATAATCTTAAAGATATTCAACAAGTAAAAAATAAATAGGATATTTGTATTTTCTCAATGAAATCGTGAAGCTTGTGTAAATTTATCGAAAAAAAAAAAAAAAACTGTTTTCGATATAAAGAGCTATATTCTAGATACTCATTAAATTCGTATTGATATTCTCTACAAATTTTATTGAGCCTAAAATATCGATTTTCGTAAAAAAATTAATTACGGTTTTCAATAGTCATATCTAGACATTCATATTTTTTAAATCTTAACTAAATTTTCTATAAAATAACTGTGATAAATGTTATATAAACTCTTCGGAACATAGTAATTTTCATTTCAAACATTCATTTATATGATCACTTGTATCGGAAATATTTGACCGTACCGTTTAATTTAAATTCATTATACAGAGTTATTTCCGTTCTGCATATATT